TATAGACCAGAACCAGGATCTTGGAATGAACCCTGAAGTTGACTGGCAGCCAGTGAAGCTGGAGGAGAAGCGGGGTGATGTGGGTGTGTTTGGAGGACTTGGTCAGAAGCCGAGCACAGGTGTTCTGAACCACCTGTAGACGGTTCAGGGAGGTTCTGCTCAGACACGTGAAAAGAGAGTTACAGTAGTCTAAGCGTGAGGAGATGAAGGTGTGGAGAACTGTCTCAAGTTCAGAGCGGGACAGAATGGGACTCAGCTTAGCAATGTTCCTGAGATGGAAGAAGGAAGAGCCAACAAGAGAACTGACATGAGAATCCAGGGTGAGAGCTGGGTCAAAGGTCACACCAAGATTCCTGACAGAAGGTTTGGTGTGAGAAGCAAGCTGACCAAGAGAGTCTCTGACTTTGGGAACCAGCTTGTCTGGGGCACAGATGAGGATCTCAGTCTTACCTTCATTCAGCTGAAGAAAGCTCCCACCATCCAGGTTTTGATAGAGTCTAAGCAGGTGTGTAACAGCTGCAGCTTAGACATCTCATGGGGCTTAAAGGAGATGTACAGTTGGATGTCATCTGCATAAAGATGGTAGGAGATTCCTTTGAAGGAGCTCATGATGTGCTGAAGAGGAAGGAGATAGAGGAGGAAGAGCAGAAGCCCCAGCACAGAACCTTGTGGGACACCATGGGTGAGAGAGGTGGTGGAGGATCTAAATTTGGAGACGGCCACAGAAAAGGAGTGCTCAGAGAGATAAGAGGAGAACCACTCCAGAGCAGATCCTGATAGGCCTACCCAGTCTCTCAGCCTCTCCAGTAGCAGGTGATGGTCAACAGTGTCAAAGGCTGCAATCAGGTCCAGCAGGACCAGAACAGAACAGTCCCCTGCATCATCTGAGTCAGAAGGTCATTAGAGACCCTAAGAAGAGCTGTTTCAGTAGAATGAGCTTTACGAAAACCTGACTGGAAGCTATCATAGATGTTCTGTTCATCAAGAGCAGCTGTGAGTTGTTTAGCCACAACCTTTTCCAAGATCTTGGAGATGAACGGAAGTTTAGAGATGGGTCTGAAGCTGCTATGGAGAGAGGGGTCGAGACTCGGTTTTTTAAGAAGCGGGTGGATTACAGTGTTCTTAAAGTAAGCAGGGACCTGACCAGAGACCAGAGAAGCATTAATTATAGAGAGCACGCTGGGACCGATGGACTGAAAAGCACTTTTAAACAAAGATGAGGGTAAGATGTGGAGGGGGCATGCAGAGGTCTTCATAGAGTTAACTAGCTTGGTTAACTCAGGCAAAGAAACAGGAGCAAAGCTATCTAGGATGATGGGCCTGGTTGGAGCCGGGAGAGGCAGCGATAAGGCTGAAGGAGAGACGCTAGATCTAACCTTATTGACTTTGTCCACAAAGAAAGACAGAAAGTTCTCACAGTCTGCAAAAGAGTGGATGGAGGCTGTAGGAGAGGCAGGAGAGACGATGCTGATGATGGTGTTAAACAGCACCTTGGGGTTCCCTTTGCTCTGGGACACCAGGTTGGAGAAATAGGAACCCCTCGCGTCTCTGACTGCAGAATTAAAGGATGTCAGAAGATCCTTTAGGTGCAGCAGATGGACGTGGAGATGGGTTTTCTTCCACAAACGCTCAGTTTTTCTGCATTGGCGCTTCGGGCTGCGAAGGCTGTGAAGGCTGTCATTAAACCAGGGAGTAGGGTTCACTGCAGGAACTGATCTGGTTCTGACAGGACAGATGTTGTCCAGAATGGAGAGGCAGTGCTCGTTAAACTGAGAAGTTAAGGAATCTGGGTCGTTATCAGAAGAACAGGGTGGATCAAAAGCAGCAAAAAAATTGCTAGCTGTGCTCTCATTAAGAAAACGAGAACTAACCATACGGCGAGCAGGAGGTGGGGACGCAGAAACTGACAAGTTAAAGAAAATGCAATGGTGATCTGAAATATAAACGTCCTCAAGACAAACACTGTCAGCATTTAGACTCAGGGTAAAAACAAGGTCTAGAGTGTGCCCCCTGGTGTGTGTGGGGCCAGAAACATGCTGGGTAAAGCTGAAGGAGTCCATAAGGCTGGAGAAATTCATGGCAAAGTGATCAGAGGGATCATCAACGTGGATGTTAAAATCACCGAACAATCACCAGTCTGGACAGCTTCACAGTGGAGGATAGAAAGTCACTAAACTCCTGAAGGAAAGAACTGTTTGGACCAGGTGGACGATAGACCACAGCACAGTAGAACGGTTCCTTACGCCCGACTTTAATCAGCTGCAGTTCAAAGGAAGCAAAGTGACCAGAGGTTGTAGAGCTACATGGAAGATGGTCTCTGAGAACAACAGCTAGGCCTCCACCACGACCAGAACCCCGGGGCTGGCTAAGAAAATAATAACCACTCGGGCAGAGTCCAATCAGAGCAGAATAATCAGATGTTTGCTGCCAAACTTCAGTCAGAAACAGAAAATCCAGGTTTTTAGAGAGAATTTGATCATTGAGCAGGAAGGTCTTATTGTTAACAGAGCGGGTATTTAATAGAGCCATGCTGAGTGAGGTGGAGGAATCAGAAACTACAGAAACAGCTGGAGTTAGTGGACGTAAATTAGCAGGGTTAGACCCACGGTGTTTATAAAAACCACTTATGGAGGGAACAGGAGGAGAAACCACTGAGGAATGAGGATAAACCGACCTTACAGACGCTAAGACACATTTCTCAATTCTTAGGTCGCTTTTGCAAAACTCTTCACACACTGAGCACAACAGGTGTGTGTGGGCTGAACCGAGGATCAATTATCATTGTTTTGGCCCAAAAAGCATTCAAATGGTAAATGGCGTGATATAGCGCCTTCTAGAGTCCTGAAACCCCCCAAGGCGCTTTACAACACAATCAGTCGCTCACCCATTCACACACTCATTCACACACTGGTGGGGATGAGCTACAATGTAGCCACAGCTGCCCTGGGGCGCACTGACAGAGGTGAGGCTGCCGAGCACTGGCGCCACCGGTCCCTCCGACCACCACCAACAAGCAACGTGGGTTAAGTGTCTTGCCCAAGGACACAACGACAGCGACAGACTGAGCGGGGCTCGAACCTGCAACCTTCCGGTTACGGGGCGAGCACTTAACTCCTGTGCCACCGTCGTCCCATTCAATGACTACATCCCTCTAGTGTCCTGCTTTATTTTGTCACTCAGACACAACAACTGCCAAAAGTCTTTGCACGCGCTTCCACGCTGTCTTCAGAACAGTTAAACTTGTATTCACAACCGAATAAGGCGGCAAGATTCAACAGCGATATTTTATTGCAACGTATTTTAAATCAACAAGTGCAGTTTAAGCAGCCACAGCTGATTCTCATCCACGCTCTTTCAGACAACGTGTGAACAGGTTTGTGTTGTGACGTAAACACGGGCCTAGCCGGAAATAGAGACGTGGCTGAAAGAGGAAGAAGAGGCTGGGAGGGCGAGGAATACGCATCGGTCTGTCGTATCTGTATCAGTGGATGGGGCGTGGACAAAGCAGCAACATAAAAATAAATAAACAACATCAAATATTGATGAATTCAGCATCATGTCAGATTCATACCGGTAACGTGTGCTGCACGTTTAATCAATTTCCCTCTGGGATTAATAAAGTATTTTTGAATTGAATTGAATTGAATTGCAGTCATGAACAATGTATGATGCACTTAGAAACAGAGACGTGTCGTTGTTTTACACAAGAAAACCCTGTAATGCTGCATGTTGTCATGTTTTTCACCTTGTTGTCTTGTGGCTGTGTGTTTGTGTGTTTGTGTGTTTTAGTGATGGGAATTCTGGCTCTTTTTAGAGAGTCGGTTCTTTTGGCTCAGTTCAAAAGAGCCGACTCTTTCGGCTCCCAAGTGGCTCCTCAGATTTTCTGTTGCCTAGAGTCCATTTATAACCAAAATTAATGCAAAACTATATGTAAAATGATTTACTAATCTAAAAAAATGCTATATATCAAATATTTATCATTTATATGGATTTAATAACTGAACACTTTAAGAAATCTCCACTTTCCGACTGCTGGCGCTCATTTTCTCACCGTCTTCGTCACTCTCCTCTCTCTCGCTCGCCTTTTTCCTCCTCCTCATTCCCTCTCGTCTCCCTCCGCCCGCACGTGCTCTGCTGTGTGTCTGAGTCTGATCCTCCCTCTTCCCCGCCCCTACTGCTCTGTGTGTGGACAGTCTGGACACGCAGTTCCACGTGTTGACCAATCGCCTGCAGCTTTCACCAAAACAAGAGGGGAGGGGCCGGCTCCCGTCGTTCGCTTCAAAGAGCCAGCTCTTAGAGCCGGTTCGTTCGCGACAGACACATCACTAGTGTGTTTGTGTGTTTGTCGGCTGTCGACCTCTGCACGTGTTCTGGAAGAAAGTGTTCATTTGAGACCCGAATGGAGAGTTTGGTAGTTGGACTGCACGTTGAATGTGAAACGAACGGCTTCGTCACGCTGAAAGTCGGTCAGGACAACCGCGTGAGGAGTTTTGCAAACACGACCGAAGTATTGAGAAATGTGTCCTAGCGTCTGTAAACAAACTGATCAAGTTCAGCATAGCTTGTTATAAACGTGTATATTTTTATTTTTATTGGTTGTAACATAAAGGAGCGCTCCTGATTTCACTACACTGAGCCACCTTAACATTAAATGCATTCCAGTGGCGTGTCCAGATCTTTTAAAATGGGGTGGCCCAGGTGAGGCACAACTTTGAGCATGGGTGGCACCAGTGGTTATGCTTTTTTTGTTTTACCCCCAAGCCTTTTGTGGACAATGAAAAGCCTATTTAAAGGTAAATTAGTGTGGTGGCACCTGGGGTGGCCAATCAGATTCCAAGGGTGGCACGTGCCACCCCAGGCCAATCCCTGGACACGCCCCTGATGCATTCTATTCTATTCTGTTATGTGGTTTGTTCATTAGTGTTACAACACTTAACACAATCTATTACTTCTTATGATGCAAACTTTTCCTGACTGAGTTGTGACGCTGATCGACTCACCCGAAGGACATTCATCTGTGCTCCACCACGAAGCTCATGGTGGTCCCATCAAACATGGGAGGGGCAATGAGCCGGGACCCTTGCTGGGAGGTGATGCTGATAACTGGCTGGGTGACACTGGAGAAGCCGTGTTGTGGCCGGTTGGTCGCCGCCTGCTGCTGAACCGCCGCTCTAGGAGACTTCCTAGTCGCCATGTAGAAAGGACTTTCCATGTACAAGCCCTCAGTGTGCTGGGAGGAGGCGTTCTCCTCACCCTCCTCGCCCAGTGGTACAGACATCTGTGACTGCACTAGAGTCTGGGCAGGTATCACGGAAGGTGTCGACATGAAGCCTGGGTAGATCATGTAGGTGTGTCCATACGCTGCCGGACTGAGGGTGAGGGGTGAGATGGGCATGGGTACAGGTGTCATGGGAGGATGTGGCATCGGCACATCTACGTATTGTCCCGTTTCTGGGTCAAAAAGACGTTTTGTAGCAGGCAACACAGGTGTGTCCACCAGGTAGTAATTTCCTGTGGTGGGATCCAGGAGCATCTTTCGCTGCGTGGCCTGAAACGGGTCCAAGGTGGGGGCTGGAGTCATAGCCGGGGAAAAGCAATACACCTGCTGCTGGCTGGCTGGCACGCCCAGTGGTAAGGAGTGGTAGACGGCAGCAGAGGGAATCTCCTGGGAGTGAGTCTCCATCACAATGCTAGAGCGTCTTATCTGCTGGTTGTGGTCCTCTGGGCCCCTGGAGCTCGACCCCTCCTGCTTTGGAGGCTGGGCGGTAACTGTACTTGATGTTTCATCAGCGGATAGGGCGGTTTTAGCGTTTGACTTGACTGGAATGGCGAGGTAGTATTCGTTTTCAGATGATGCGCTTAAAAACGGACGTTCAAACCCTTCCTCCTGCCCAGATTCAGTGGCTCTGTTCCTGTTTACTCCTGACCGGTTAGGGTTGGGGTTAGAGACTGGTTTTTTAGAGGACTTGGATGACCCTTTGATGCTAAAAGCTGCTTGTGTGGTGGCGGTGTTTGGGCGTGCAGCTGTGGAGGCCTCTGGTTTGGAGCTGATTTTTCTTCCTGATTTTGTAACCGGCCTCTCACAATGGCTGCTGGACGTCTGAAGGACCCTCGGTAGCTCGCCGTCTTCCCTCCCCAGCAGGATGTTAGTGCCGGGGGATCCTGCTGATGTTGGTGGAGTCTTGTCTGTGTCAGGATTGGAGTCTCCTCTGACCACATTGTCCTCGTTGAACCCTCCTGTTGTTTCCTCTGACCCTTCCAGCTCCTCGCTGGCTATCAGCGACAGCACATGACTGTCGGACAGAGGCTGCGCTTCCACCTTCCTTTTCCACTCGTTTTTGTCAAACACATAAAGTTGTTCCATGGTTTTTACAGCCGCCTGCAGCTTTTCCAACGCCGCCAGGTTTGGCGTCTTTGACTCTAGTTTCTTTTCTGTCGTTTCTGATTCTTTTTCCTGCTTCTTGGAGGCCAGCTCGCTCTCGACTCTCCGTCCAGAGCCTTCCTCTGATGAGCTGAGTGGCCCAGCAACAGGTCTGTCCTCTCTAGACTCGTCCGTTGTGAGGTCTGGGTGTGCTGCAGCATTATTGGTGTTAACCGACTGACATTTGATCACTATGGGGGAGACGGAGCTGGGGTTGCACTTGTGACTTTGCTTCTTCTGGCCGTCAGCAGAAACAAAGCCGGATTTGTTCTCGTTGTTATCCAAGGAGACGAAGTGATAAGAGCTTTTGACCAGTTTGCGCACATCTCTGACCTGGTGGATGGGCGCCTGCAGCTTCCCCTTGCTGTCTCGCACGTCTCGCACCATGAAATGTGGAGCTTTATCTGAAGACTCGCCCTTCAGCGCTGCAGCCAGGGCCTGGTCGGTCCGAATCAGACTCACCGTGCTGGAGCTGGCGTTGGCAGCGCGCGCTTTAGTGCATCTGCTGCTTCTTAGATTAATTTTGATTTCCGGTGATTTAGATGTCGTCAGACTTCTGGAGCTTGTGACGTGTAAAGAGTTGTCAGAGCTCCCTTTGACCCCGCTCCCGGAGGAATCTCCGCTCTGAAGGAAAGTCGGCACAAACAGGTGAGACATTCTAGTCCTCCCTCTGCAGCCCGCTGTCTTCTGATCCCGCTTCGTCTCTTTGTCCTCAGCTGGAGACACCTCGTCCTCTGGAGTTTCGTCGTTTTTATGATCATTTTGAAACCTAAGCTCCTCGTCCTTCCAGCATCTGAATGCGCTATTTTGGCTGTGAAGCAGCGTGCTCCTGGACGCTTCCAGTGCGCCTTTTTTAGTATCGTTTCCAGCTTCATTCTCCGGCTCTAAATTAGTTCCTGCTGCGGGAGCGGCGCGGTCCTGTCTCCGAGAGTCACACGAGCCGCTGTCCACGACGTCCCCTAACTCCTCCAGGCACGTTATGGCCAGGTCCGAGCTGCTCTCGGAAAACCTGGAGGTCTGTCTCTGCAGCTCCCTGCTGCTGCCCCTCCACCTGTGGCTGCTGTCGCCCTCCTGCTGCGCGAGGCTGGGTGAGGCGGTCTGGTGCGGCTCTCTTATCTCCCCCCTTTCCATCCTGCGCTCCTGCTCGAATTGTATCTTTTTGGAAATCACATTTTTGATGAGGCTCGAGGCGAATACTGCTTTCTTATGCGCGTCTTCCATGGTTTTGAAAGGCGAATTGCTGGCCCCTCTCCCCTGGCTGCTCAGCAGACTGTTGGTAACTTCATCCGTGGAACGTGATCCTGCAGCGTTTTGTGCAAACTTAGTGCGCCTTTCTGCATCAGACACTCCCGTGTTGACATTGCAGCGAAAATTCAGGGTCTCCGTCAGCCTGATCACCCCTCCTTGGCCCTGACCAAATTTCCCCACCAGCTGTATTTTCTTGGATGCGCCGTGGGGATTCCCGGTCAAAGTGAATATCTTGCTGGTGGGCGGTTTGGCGCTTGCCGGTGCAATACCCCTGTAACCTTTATTTTCTATATTTCGGGCTATTTCAAACGAGGCCGTTGCGTTTTGACAGGAAACGACACTCTGGTCCAGTCCCTGGGACATGTTTACGTTGCCATATTTCAGGTCGACAAACGTGGACCACCTGTTTATCCCCACCCCGCGCTCTGACGCAGAGGACTCGCTGGAGGTGCTGAAATTGATGGCATCAAAATATGGATAAGCCAGGCTCTTGAAGGCTCTGGCTGTGAGGTTGCGCACCTCCTTGTCAGCGTCGTCCAGCTCGCTGACAGCGCTGGACGTGCCGCTGGAATACTCTGTGACCTCCTTTCCTCTTAATCTGCCGCCTAAGTGCAGCCGTCCGGGTGCGGCTATGAAACACTTCGCCCTGTCACACAAGGTCTCTGCCTTCCCGTCCACTCCCCTAAACACACAGTGGCTCACGTCTCCGGCGCGCCTGGCATGGTAGAAAATATTTTCTTGTTCTTGGATTTTGCAGGGGTCATTTATAGCTCGAGATGTGGTTCTGATTGACAGATGGATCTGTTCCCCTCCGTTGTGCTTGGACTCATCTGAGCTGGCAAACTCGGCCAAGTCACCCAGATCATTTTCAAGCAGAGTGCTGACTGCTGCTTCGCCCAGAGCGCGATGCTGACTGCCGTCCCTCCTCTCCCCCACCGCCGCCCCATCACCCTCAAACGAGTAATCGACAAATGTGTACACCTGACTGTCACCTTCAACGTCCCAGCTGGAGGAGCCCACACCCGCGGGCCCCTCGTGGTCAGAGAGTTCCGATAGCTGAATCTCGTGCGTGGTAATGTAATGGGGCTCGTCCTCCGTTACGCACGGGTCGGACTCGTAGAAAAACACCAAACTGTCATCATCCACCCCTTCACAATCATCCGACTCGCTCCTCCCGCTCAGATAATCGTCTCCATGGCGCGTTTGTTTACCCGGCTCTGTCTCTTCCTTCTCCTCGGCGTTGGTGACGTCCAGCTCCGTTATTACGCACGGAGAGGATGGATCTGGGGCGTCGTCTCTGACCTCTTCACCACTTTTCTCAGCTTTGGCATCCTGTTTCTTTTCCGCGTGCATCTCAGGTCTGATGTCCAACGCGTCAGTTTGGTTGAGCTGCGTAAAGATCTCCGGCGCCTTCGTTGAGACGTCCACAGACGCCTGGCTTGTCCCAAAGACCGACCTTCTCCGATTTTGCTCCACTTGACTTCGCGTGACTTAATTCCAGATCTGTGTAGCTGGTGTCGCCTGGTTTCTCTGAGATGTCCTTCTATTTGGAGCATGTCACCTGTCCCTATGCTGCAGACGCGTGCGCGCGTCTCCGCTCAGCCTTCATCATCTGGAGCAGCACTGCAGGTTGACTAAACACTTCATGTGTGACACAAAAGTAGACCCCTCCTCCCAGACAGTGGTGGTGGAGCTCCGTGTTCGGCGAGACGAATTCCGGTGTCAGCGAGACGCTCCAGACATTCCCCCGCAGCGCGCGCGACGTCTGCAGAGACAGTTCACGTCTCGGACGCATGACTGTAAAGCTGGCGTTCAGACCAGATCAGCAGTAGTCAGTCAGCCTGAAAATACCTTCGCGCGGTTTTTAGAATGAAGATAAAAGCAGGAACGTCCTCATGGATGCTACAGAAGTTCACAGGAAATCTCTCAAAAATCCTTTTTCAGGATTTGATTACAAAACCCGCGATTCAGTCAAAAGGCGCGTGCGTGATAGAACAGCTGCATGATTTAAAAGGATATCCTTCACCAGCCTGATGCTCCAGTGGTGTATTATTTATGTAAAAATGTCCCTGTAGGCACAAACGATGCTCCTGGTGGGTTTTAGTTGCAGGATAAATGTTCTGTATTCATACTTCCGGTCGTGTTCTAAGCTGTCCCTTTAGCTCACTTCGGCCAGATTTGGACTGTCAGGTTTCATGGATTTATGTTGTAAGAATTTAATTTTACATCTATTTAATGAACCATTAGACTCCATATTAAATATCAAATCAATCTGATGGACCTTTGGGTACTTTTAACCAGAATTATCCTGAGCTACTACAGCAATCAATTTCCCTCTGGGATTAATAAAGTATTTCTGAATTGAATTGAATTGAAGATTGGAACTTTTTGTTGCAGGGATTATGTAAACACTTCGTATTAACTCAGAGACAAAAGAAAAAGAGTCAAGTTTTAAAAGTTTAAAGATTACTTGTCAAGAACAGAGCTCAGACGGACCCGTAATGACACCAAAAACTGTAAGCACCTTTAAAAGTCTTTATTGAAGGCAGAGGTACCTGGAGGGCAAGGCTGAGGCAGGTTCAGAGACAGGCAGCGAGCAAGGCAGGGGTCAGGAGAAAAAACAAGGTCTGGAGACAAAGATCGGGCAGGGTGGATGGCTGGAGACCTACTGGCAAGGCTGTAATAATCTGGCATCTGTTGACTGGATGGCTGGTTCTTTTATAGCGGGGGAAGCAGGTGTATGGGATGAGGCTGATTACAGGAGCAGGTGGAATGAATGGAGCTGATTGAAGCTGACAGAGGTTGCTGGGGAAAACCGGGCTTGGCTGGAGCTTGGTGAGAGGACAAGGTGAGCTGAATGAGGAGGAAATGATAAGGCAGATGAGGGTAAAGGATGGGAGTCATGACATTACTAAACAAATTAAACTAGACTAACTTAAACACTAAATATATGGTGCAACTAAGGTGGGTGAGACGGAGAATGGTTTAGTGTGGAATGTTGCTCACACAAAAATAATTATTTAATAAATGTTTTAGGAAAATATAAGTAAGAGTTCATAAATGTGTTTTATATTCAGTAGAAGGAGGCTAAATTCATTTTCCCAATACCCCAGAGTCCCCCCCCCCCCCCCCCCCCCCCCACACACACACACATAACAGGATGGTTAACTCCAACCTGACATATAACACCCAGCATCACCAGTCAGTTATTTGGATCAGCGATGGACAGGTGACTGAAGCGCAGCAGCAGTTCTTTGGAAAACACGGAGGGACATGAAGGCCAAACCAGAGCCGGCAAGATTCCGGCTGTATCTCGAAGATTATGTTTTATTTGGATTTACTTCCACAAGTTGCAACCCACCCAAGGCACTGTGTTTTTTCTGTGGGGAGAAATGAGCTAACGGTAGCATGAAGCCAGCACATCTGCAGCGCCATCTTACGACAAAACATGGACGTCATGTTGGTAAGCCACCGGATTTTTTTAAGAGGAAACTGTCTGAATTCAGATCATCTCAAGACACGATGCGGAAGGCCTCCACAACATCAGCCAAAGCCCTGGAGGCGTCTTATTCAATTCAATTTTAATTATAAAGCGCCAAATCACGACAACCGTCGTCTCAAGGCACTTCACATAATAAACATTCCAATCCAGGTCAGTTCATTAAGCCAATCAGTAAAAAGTTTCCTATATAAGGAACCCAGCAGGTCGCATCGAGTCACTGACTAGTGTCAGAGTCTTTACAGCAATCCTCATACTAAGCAAGCATGCAGCGACAGTGGAGAGGAAAACTCCCTTTTAACAGGAAGAAAACTCCAGAGAATCCTGGCTCAGTATAAGCAACCATCCTCCACGACTCACTGGGGATGGAGAAGACAGAGCACACACACACACGCACACACACACACGCACGCACACGCACACACACACACACACACACACACACACACACACACACACGCGCACACACACACACACACACACACACACACACACACACACACACACACACACACACACACACACACACACACACACACGCGCACACACACACACACACACACACACACACACACACACACACACACACACACACACACACACACACACACACACACACAAAGACAAGTAATGTGTCTATAGTTATATTGTGATGTCTTAGTAAATATTATATTTGGTGAGAGATAAACTTTATTGTATTTATCCTAGTGAATCTATGATTAAACGGGTAAACTAGTAGTAGCACATCCAACTTCAAGGAAAGCAAAAAGTTATTATCAGGAGAGGGAGAATGTTTAAGTGGTTAGCAGCAGTGTGCTAGTCGATGGCCCCCTCCATGAGGCCACCACAGTGGCTTTGCTCGTATAGCTAAAGCCAAGAAGCCATTCACCATCGCTGGAGACCTCCTCCTTCCAGCGGCTGTAGTGCTGGCTGAGATGATGCTGGACAGACGCGCAGCAGAGAAATTAAAGACCGTGCCTTTGTCAAACGACACTATTCGCCGCAGAATCGATAAAACGGGGACAGACATTGTCGAGCAAGTTGTGGGAAAACTTAGCGACTCCTTTTCACTCCAGCTGGATGAATCCGCAGATGTCAGTGGAAATGCACAACGTGTTGCTTTTGTGAGGTACGGTGATGCTGATGACATCTATGAGCACATACTATTCTGCAAAAGCTCGGAAGGGAAAACAACAGGAGAGGACATATTTAATGTTGTCAAAGGTGCTTTCTGTGAATACGGTTTGAGCTGGAAGTCCTGCAGCAGCATCTGTACGGACGCGCGAAAGGGCTGATAGCGCGCATTAAAAAAGAAAACCCCGACGTGATGCGGACTCGCCGTGTCATACACAGGGAAGCACCGGCATCCAAGAAAATGAGCCCTGTGTCACATGACGTTTAGAACAGCAGCATCAAAGTGGTCACCTTCGTTAAGTCAAGGCCACTTAATGCGCGCCTGTTTTCCCGCCTCTGCGGAAATGTGGGAGCTGAACACACACAACTGCTGCCACTACTGCTGCTGCTGCGCTGGCTCTCTCTCTCTCGAGGGAAAATACTCAACCGGCTGTTGGAATTAAGATCCGAAGCACACGCCTTTCTGACTGGGCACAGATCTCCCCATGCCACCTCGTTCCAGGACACGGATTGGCTTGCAACGTTGTTATCTGGCAGATATATTCAGCAAACTGAACGACCTGAATACATCTCTGCAGGGCAAGAACTCCAGCATTTAAACCTGTACGACAAGGTGGGTGGCTTCCTGGAGAAAGCAGAACTGTGCAGGAGGGCCTGTGCACATTTCACCTGCTTTCCTCAGCTGGAGGATTCTCTCTCTAGTGAGGATGTGGACAGAGCACAGGTGAAGAGAATCATCGTGGAACATTTGACCAAGTTGATTCAGGATTTTCATTCCTATTTTCCTGACATGGAGGAGAATTCTGCACAGCTGGATCGGGCGAGAAACCCATTTCTCTTGTCTGAAGCGAACCGAAGAAAGCTCCCTGTCACCTATCAGGAAAAACTCCTGGAAGTGTCATCTGAACGTGGCCTCCAGATGAAGTTTTCCATGTGCACTCTTTCACCGTTTTGGGTGTGTGTGAAGCAGGAGCACCATGACATGGGACAGAAAGCTTTGGAGCAGCTATTACCCTTTGCCTCCACATATTTATGTGAGGCCTCCTTCTCTGCAACGACACTTTGAATGTTTAACCAGAAGAATTTGGGATTCTTTGCTTGTTCAGGGATCATAAACACACTTCGTATTAATTCAGACAGAGTCAAGTATATAATTAAAATCAACTTTATTTTCTAGACTAATTATAATACATGACAAGCTATGAATAACATGTATGTGATGGAATGGTGATGGTGGAATGTGGTGTATATCAGAACCTTTGTATCTGGAAGAAACTGTGAGTTCTGAGTCTAAAAGAATTTGGTCAACTAGGGAGTTGATTATTAATGAAACGGCATCAGATGCAATCTTGTGTTTATGTTTATATGTTTAGCAGACGCTTTTGTCCAAAGCGACTTACAAGTGATAATTGGCATGTTGCCCTTGAGGCTAACAACAACAACTTGACATCAATCATGGAGAGGAGGGAACAAGGAGTGGACGGTAGAGAGGGGGGTGGGTGCAGGGAGGGTGCTAGTTAAGAAGATGCTCTCTGAAGAGCAGGGTCTTCAGGAGTTTCTTGAAAATTGAAAAGGAAGCTCCTGTTCTGGTAGTGCTTGGAAGGTCATTCCACATTTGTGGAAAGATGCATGAGAAGAGTCTGGATTGTCCTGAGCGTGGTGTAGGCACCGCTAGCCGACGATCCTGTGATGACCGGAGCGGCCGGGCCGAGACGTAAGCCTTTGCAAGAGGATTCAGGAAGATGGGAGCCGTACCATCTCGGACTTTGTATGCTAGTGTTAGCCATTTGAATTTGATGCCTGCTGCTAGCGGTAGCCAGTGGAGCTCAATGAACAGAGGGGTGACGTGTGCTCTTTTAGGCTGGTTGAAGACCAGACGCGTCGCTGCGTTCTGGACCATTTGAAGAGGTCTCACAGTACAGCCTGGAAGACCAGTTAGAAGGGCGTTGCAGTAATCGAGG